TCTGTTGACAGCTGTCGTGGAAAATGTATTTGATATATTTTGATATGAAGAGGGCTGAGGCGAAAGGGTGGGCACATAGAGTTAAGATGGGTGCTCAAGTGTAAATAAAAGTGGCTCTTCTATACATTTCATAGGAATTCCTTTGAATTTTTTTAACAAAAAACAAAAAAAAAAGTAAAATTCTAAAATAATAAAAGTAAAAAAAAAATCTACTCAGATAAACTGACTGAGCAAATGTGAAAATAAAGCTACGTTGCTAGTTTTAAAATAAAAACATTTGATAGGTTGTTAAATATTTAAATGTCTGCAAATTATTGAAACGATGGCTAAAGCTAGCTCTTAGCAACCACAATGTGCAAAAGTCACCAAAATAGGACATAGCAAGGTGAATGATCAATATATTCTTCCAAAATATATGCAAAAGCAGAGATTCAAATATAAATTGCTGCATGGACCAATCAGATTTACCACATTTTTTAAAAATTATTTTGATTGGTCCAAGCAACAGTGGGCAGCGGTGGCTCGGCGTGCCAGAAGGTTTCAGGTTCGAATCCAAGTTACCGCTGAGGTGCACTGAGCATGGCACTGTCGCCACACACTGCTCGGGTGCTTTAAATAACCCGCTGTATGGGAGTATGTGTTCAGACATTGAATGGGACACTGTGGACAAGTCCAGCTTTTAATGGGCCAAGGAATTTGTGTGAGGTCATCGGTGACTTTGCTGAATATAAGAGATGGCTCATTCATTCATTCATTCATTCATTAGTGTGATGTCCACCGGTCCAGCTTTGGCAATGATTGAGGCCTCATGATATAACATGGCCGAAAGAAGGCAGGTGTCCAGTGCCTGTCTAACAGGGAACTGTTGTTTCTGCTGCTCACAACCCCAGTTATTAAATCATTGTACTGTAATGTTCCATTTAAGAGAATGATAACGTTCTCAAACACCTGTTCTACAACCCTTTAAATATACATACAGACTAGAAATCTATCTATTGATATATATATATATATATATATACATATATATATAAAAAAGAGGACTAGATATAAAAATGAGAGTTTCCAACCCCCGGTCCATGGACCGAAACAGGTCTGTAAGTAATTCGGTAATTGGCTGCAGTGGAAAAGTGAACTTCATTTTTACTTTAATGTATTTTAGTCAAAGAGTATTATACAAAGAATATGTCATTCAGACATATTCAGCGGCGCTTCCATAGTGTTGTGGTTAGCATTGCCTGCCTCAGAAACCGAGAGCAGGTAGTCCTGGGTTTGATTCCCAGAGAAACCACATATTTCGGGGCAGTGGTGGATTAGTGGTTAAGGAAGCAGACTTGGAAGGTGTCAGGTTCGAGTCCGAGACATCAGTGTTAGCCAGGCACTAGAACTCCTAACTCTAGGAGCCGCCCATATAACTTTCATTATTTTGCGAATGATTAGTAAATATTGAGAAATTTACATAAGTAAACAAATTTAAAAAAAATACTTACGGCAAACATAACTAATCTCAACCAAAGGTAAACATAACTAAAGTTCCGAAAGAAATCTTGTTAAAACTAAAATTGTAAAAGGGCTTAAAGCTCACTTAAGCCTAGCCCAGAAGCAGCTACAAATATTTTTTATATATAATATGTGAATTAGTTTATGGTTTAAACATGGTACTTTAATCTCTCGTCTAAAATCTCCCCTTGTGCAGACAACTTTTTTTTTTTTAATTTGAGGTGAACAGGATGCTTTAACCTTGATAGAGAACAACATTCCATTTTAGGCTTTTTTTTCTTTTTTTTTTTTTACATTTTATCTTTTCATCTTTATAATTACTGTGGCTGGATTCTTTCTTGATTCTTCAGAAGAATGCACACACACACAAACACGTTCTTGAGTTTTCAGTCTGAGGGGTAGATCACACGGTTTAAAGAAAAATACCTACAGTAAGCTAACAAGGGTTAGCTTGTAGGGTTTTCACAAAACGAACCTATTTCATCATTTAGAATGAAAATGATTATTTCCACATTTGAAATTTCTAAAATTGCTGTGAACTAGTCTTTAATATACCATCAAAATATTTTATTTTATCAACTTAAGTATATTTTATTTAAATATATTTATTTTCATTTCCATACAGTCATGTTTATATTTTCTTCGTATCACTTCTTTTGCTTAGACTGAAAATGTAATAATAACTCTTATTTACTGTACCACATTGGAATTGGGACCTTCAGCAGTTTGCGTTTGAAGCTCCTGGCAATAATGGCACTAACGTTTTCCCCAATTTAAATTTTAGGTGCTAAAAATGTTGATCAAGCTGGGTTTGATT